CGAGACTCCCTGTGGACAGAGGCGGCTCTGTGGCAGTAGTGCCTGTCCATGGGAGCTCAGACCCCTCCACTAACAGGGACTTTTGCCACCCTGTGCTGTTGCCTCTGCATCAGACAGAGCAGTGCAGGGCAGCAGGCAGAGCCGGTCTGAACAAAAAGCTGGTCTTTAAATCAGCTCCCCTCGTGGATCAGCTCCCTCCTGCCACCCCACACTGGCTGCTGGCCCTGCCACTGGGGACTATTGAATAGTTGTGTAACTGCTAACATTTGATGTGGTTACATGACTATCCAGTTACACACTATCTAACATCCCTACTGTTGTACACTCAGAACATATCTCAGGCATCCAGTGTGCAGTCACAGGGCATAGAAAATGTATCTCAAATTAGCTCTCCAGTAGGAAGGGCATGATAAGGAGGAAACCATGGAACAAGGAGAAGTACATGAGACAAAATAACCAAGATGATGAACAAAGAAATGTCAAGATAGGACTCTTAGGGTATGTCTACACTACATTCCTCTGTCAAGAGAAGAATGCAAATGCAGCCAAGTGAAATTGCAAATGAAGCACGGATTTGAATTTCCTGTGCTTCATTTGCATAATTATGTCCAGCCCCTTTTTCGAAATACCCTATTTCAAGATTAAAAAACGCTGTGTAGACGCGGTTATTTAAAAAACAAACCCTTCTTTTGAAATAACCGTTAAACCTCATTTTATAAGGAGAAAGGATTATTTCAAAAGAAGTGTTTGTTTTCTAAATAACCGGTCTACACAGCGTTTTTTATCTCGAAATACAGTATTTCGAAAAAGCGGCCGGACGTGATTATACAAATGAAGCATGGGAAATTCAAATCCATGCTTCATTTGCATTCCTCCCTCACAAGACGAATGCAGTGTAGACATACCCTTAATGTTCAGCTCCAATTCTTGAATATAAACAATACTATTTTTCTTCTCTTCTGGAAGTTATGATGCTACAAGTCAACTTGCAGACAGATTCTAAAAATAGTTTTAATTTTCCTGTAGCAATTACATGCTGGCAATATGCATCATGATCTGTTATGTACTTCTTTCCTTACATACCTCATACTGTAAGTTGCTATTATCTCTATCGCGTACAAAAGGATTGTCCTTTGCCAGTATTTCCACAATTTTTGTTGCAGTTAATTGTTTGCTGAGCATATTTAAATCCTGTATATCAAAAAGGTTAAAAGTTAGTTAAGACATTTACAAATATGGACTTGGTCTGGCTCCCTTTCAAGTCAATGTCAAAATTCCCCTTGATAATTATAATAGGGAATAAATCAGGGCCTCATTGAAGTCAATGGGAGTTTTACTATTGACTTCAACAGAGCTAGTATTTCAGTTACACAGTACAGCCACTCCCCGACTTACGAACACACCGACTTACAACCATCCGTACTTACGACCAGCCTCCCATTAACCCCATTATATGTATTTTCGAGTTGAGAACCATGTATGTCAAGTTTTTCAAATAGCGCGGGCAGCACATTTAAGGGTACTTCTGACTTACAACCAAATTGAGTTATGACCAGGTGTTCGGAACATAACCCATACATAAGTCAGGGACTGCCTGTATGTCAAACCCAAAGTTCAGGAAAGTTCATCAAACCATTCCCCTACAACCTCCTGAGTTTGACATACCCAACAGCTACCCATTTATCAGTCAGACAGTTTTACTTTTTCTTAATTCCACACTGCACAAAAGAAGGGTGAAACACTGAGGGTTCCCCATAGGAATGCAAAGGAATCTTGCAAACAGGAAGAGGTGTAAGCCAGCTTGTCTTCTAATCATTAAGGGTTTGATCCAAAACTTAGTGATATCAGTGGCTGATTTCAATGTAATTTGGGATCAGGCCCTATACTCCAGAGCTCTGGGAAAGAATCCTGTGTCCATGATTCTTTACCATTCTTCAAATTTCATAAAAACGTCATTTTAAAAGATTTGTTTTTTGAATATCATTTTATTTCTGAATTTGTCGGTCTTGGACTTCTGCAGACATTAATTTTTAATAAATAACAATTAGTATTTACATTTCAAAAAGTGCCACTGTAGTGAAAGTATTTAAATTGATTAAAATTACATACTCAAAATTAGTCAAGGCTAGAGGAATCAAATAATTTGGAATCGGATCTTCCGTATAGTTAAGCATATGAGCAACTTTATTCTTGTGAAGCATACCTCACATTATTAGGGTTTTTCAATAGCAGGGCCTTAAGTGGAAAGAATTTTAAAATGTCATTGTGTACTGGACAGAAAAAATAGTTCCTAGACACACAAATCAAAATACAGAAGATAATTACTTTCAACATCCAGAGGAAGTGTCTCATTTTCATTGTGGGTTCATAAGGAGGTATAGTGTTTGGTCTACAGTAAGCCCTGTATATCTCCCAACATTTATCAATGTAATTAATAGCACAGATGGCTTGTCGTTCATAGAATATAATGCCTGTAGAAGTGAAGGAAAATACAGAAATTAAAATAAAACTTGTTTGATTACTAGTAACAGAGATTGATTCTGCTTAGCACAAAAAAGATGTTGCATTGCTTACCTTGTACACGAGAGCTATTGGGAATAATGTTCTTCATCATCATTGCTGAGAAGCACTTAAACAGATAGGGACCTTTATCTCTACATTTAAAACAAAGTTGTAGATTACATCTTCCTTTATCACACAGCCTGTATTATGAAACATTGTTTGATCAACAAATGCAATATTTATAATGCAAAATTTATACTATGGATTTTTTCCTTGACAAATTCTTCAGTGAACTATATTCTATCCCTAGGGATTATTTGCAATGCTGGCAAATTGTAAAGCTCTAGAAGATTTATTTATTTTCCTGAAGCCCAAAGCAATGGATTTTTTTTTTTAAACACAATTTACATGCATATTGGATAGGATTTTACAAAAATGTCTAAGTTTCTTAGGAGCACAAGACCAAATGAAAATCAGTATTTTCTTTTTTCTCCCTTCCACTAAACAAATTATCTCCTACATTTTCCATAAAGCAATATACATCACATTTTATATGGTTACACATAATAGTATTACTTATCAGCCAAAGGCACCCATAAGCCAATGACATTCTGGAAAGGGAAGTTACTCACCTCATGCAATAATGACAGTTCTTCAAGATGTGTATCTCCGTGGGTGCTCCGCTGTTGGTATCAGGTCATCCCGGTGCTGCAGATCGGAGTTTTTCACAGCAATAGCTGATTGGGCTGAGCATGCACAATAGGCACCTCGTGGTGTTCGTGCTTTTGCACTTCCCGTGTTCAGCCTGAAACTCCTGAGTTCCTTGTCTATGCCCAAATACCTGAAGAAAAATACTCCGGGGAAGAGGGGAGGTAGTGGAGCACCCATGGGGACACACATCTTGAAGAACTGTCATTACTACACAAGGTGAGTAACTTCCCTTTCCTCTTCGAGTGATGTTCCCGTAGGTGCTCCACTATTGGTGACTGTAAAGCAGTAACTGAGAAATATGGTAGGTGGGTTTCAGTTTATCGATGGTTGAGAGCACCACAGTGGCTACTGAGCAATCCACAGACGGTTGTGGAACAATTGCATAATGACTCATAAAAGTGTGGTCAAATGACCACATTGCCTCATAGCAAATGTCCTTAAGGAATACACCTTGGAGAAAAGCTGTAGATGTTGAGACAGCTCAAGTGGAATACGCTCTAGGCAGAACTGGGAGTGTTTTGTTTCACAGAGAGTAACACTGGGTAATGCAGGACACTATTAGTTTCAAGGTGCGCCCTGAAGAAATCAACGTGCCTTTTGAATGTTCTGTGATGGAGATGAATTGCGGAAGGCCCAAGCCCTGTCAGTGTAAAAGGATAAAGTCCTGCAGACATCGAGGGTGTGCAAGATAGCCTCCTGACATGCCATATGAGGTTTAGGATGAAAGATAGGAAGGATGATAGGTTCATTATGTGGAAGTCTGTGCACACTTTGGGTAAGAAAGAAGGATGTGGTCGTAGTACCACTTTGTCCTTCCTGAACACTGTGTAAGGCTATGCTGTTGTGAGAGCAGCAAATTTGCCGAGTCTATGCACTGATGTAATTGCGAGTAGGAATACCACCTTCATTGACAGCAAGAGGAGAGGGCAAGCTGCCAAAGGTTTGAAAAGGGGCAAAGTAAGTGTGTCCAGCACTAAGTCTAAATCCCACACTGTAGGTGGTTATTTGTATGGAGGGTAAAGGTTGTGAAGATCTTTGAGGAACCTCCTCGTGGTAGGGTATGTGAAGACTGAAAACCCTTCTATTTGGGGATGAAAGGCAGTAATCACAGCACGATGCACCCTGAGAGAGGATACAGATAGGCCTTCATGTTTCAAATCGAGAATGTAGTCGAGAATTATATGAAGTGGCATGGAGCAGGGATCAATTTGCTTGTGGGTGCACCAAGTTGCAAAGCATTTCCATTTACAAAGATAAGTGGTATGGGTAGTTTGTCATCTTCTGTGTAGTAAAATATTCTTCATATTATCAGAGCAGAGTCAGGGTCACACAACCAGAGAGAAGACACATTGTGACATGTAGGGTTCAAGGTTGGGGATGTAGGAAAGTAACCCCATTCTGCGACAGTAGGTCCTGTTGGCCCGGAAGAAGGTAGGAAGGCAGAAGAGATATCTGATAGAGGTATGGGAACCATGTCTGTCTGGACCAAGAAGCAGCTATTAGAATGACTTGTGCCCCATCCATCCTGATTTTGTGGAAAACCCTCAGAATGAGACGAATTGAGGGGGAAAGTGTAGTTTAGTGAGGCATTCCACGTAATAAGAAATGTGTCACCCAGCAATCTGGGTCCTACACCTGCTCTGGAACAATACTAAAGACACTTCACATTGAGGTGGGATGCGAAGAGGTCTATGAGGGGAAACCCCCCATTGACGAAAGATGGACTGTATTACTTGGGAATGATGATCCCATTCGTGGTCTATTAAAAAATGTCAATTGAGGGTATCTGCTATTATGTTGTTGATGCCAGGTAGGTAAGATGATGTTAGAGTGACGTTGTTGCGGATGCACCAGTTCCAGACTTGAATTGAGGTGGGATGCGAAGAGGTCTATGAGGGGAAACCCCCCATTGACGAAAGATGGACTGTATTACTTGGGAATGATGATCCCATTCGTGGTCTATTAAAAAATGTCAATTGAGGGTATCTGCTATTATGTTGTTGATGCCAGGTAGGTAAGATGATGTTAGAGTGACGTTGTTGCGGATGCACCAGTTCCAGACTTGAGATCCCCTTGCAGACAAGTGAACACTGGCACAGTAGGGTTTGCTGAAACAATAGTGATAAGAGTCTGTGTAGCTTGGAAGTGCTGGCATGACAAATAGGCCTGAGCAGCTGTGGAGTCTAGTCGAGCACCTATAAACTCCAACACTAGGGTTGCTTGGACCATGAAGGGAAAGTTACTCACCTGTGCAGTAACTGGAGTTCTTTGAGATGGCTGTCCCCGTGGGTGCTCCAACTTAGGTGCATCAGCGTCACTGCGCGCTGGTTGGAGATTTGTATTAGCAGTGTCCCTGGCACGCGCAGAGTGCCGGCATGAGCAGTCTGGGTGCTCTACGCCAAATGCGGAGCTGGCTGTCTTCTGTTCCTTCTGTGACCTGGATACCTGTGAGTCCGAAGTTGAGGGGAGGCAGGGTGGGTGGTGGAGCACCACCATCTAGAAGAACTCCATCTAGAAGTTACTGCACAGATGAGTAGCCTTCCCTTCTTCTTTGAGGGTCCCCGGGGGTACTCCATCTTAGGTGATTATGAAGCAGCGTTCATGTTAGGAGATGGGAGCTTTGGAGTGTATGAGTCTGTGATCGAGTATTGTTTGTCCAAACTTCATTTCAGAGTCTGCGAACATCTGGATGGCATGGTGCTGCGTCAATGTATGTGTAGATGACCACGTGGCAGCCTTCTATATTTGTTCCATTGTGACGCCTCTTAGGAATGTGGTTGTGGCTCCCACGGCTCTTGTGGACTGAGCTCTTATATTGGGAGGTGGATCCTTTTGTGCTAATTCGTACGCTAAGAATATGCAGTTCGATACCCATTTCGATAATCTTTTTTTTTTTTTTTTGATATGGCTAGTCCTTGGGACCTTTCTGTCATGGAGATAAACAATTGTGGAGATTTTCGTAAAGGCTTTATGTGCTGAAAGTAAAAGGAGAGTGCCTGCGGACGTCCAAGGTATGAAGTACCTCCTCCTTTAGGTCTTTATGAGCAGGACTCGACAACTACACTCGCCGGTGGCGAGTAAATTTTACCAGCTGGCGAGTGCAGGGGCAGTCTGGCCCGGTGGGCCATTGTGATGGGCTGGCCGAAGCCCACACTACAGGAGGCGCGGCCCCCATCCGATCCGCTGGCCGGCCGGTGGAGAAGAGCACCACTGGGGAGGGTAAAGTGCGGCGATTCTCAGTGCCAAGCTGCTTGTGTGCAGCTCCGGCGTGAGGAGGCGGGGCGCGAGCCAGAGGGCGGGACACCGGCACACGCCAGGATGCTGGCGTGACGTGGCATCCTGACATCACAGCCAGCGACCGCCGGATTCCAAAAGGCTCCGGCAACCCCGCAAAGTGGAAGTCAGAAGCCAGGTAGGGGAGGGTCTGTGGCTGTGGCTGAGGCTGGGACTAGGGCTGGGGCTGGGCGGAGGGGAAGGGAAGAGAAGGAAGGGGAGTGGAAAAATATGGGGAAGGGGCTTGTGCTGAGGGGAGAGGAGGAGGTCAGGAGGAGAAGAAGAAGAAGAAAGGGGAAGGCACCAAGGGACAGGGGTGCAGGAGAGACAAATGCCAGGAGGGCAGGTGCAGACAATGAGGAAAAGGGCAGGAGGGGAGGTGTCAGTGGGAGGGGGGACAGGGTGATGCTGGGAGAGGACAGGGTAAGGGCGCTGGGAGAAGGCTTGAAAGAAGGGGTGGGCATGAGGAAGGCGGGGATGGAGCAAGGCACGTGTGAGGGCACAGGGGCATGAGAGGAACAGGGGCAGAGGGTGGTGAGGGGGTGGGTATCAGGGGAAAAGAGGGCAAAAGGGGCAATGGCAGTGAGGGAAGGGGGAGGCACCAGAAGGGTGCAGGTGCCAGGGGATTCTGGGGTGAAGCAGAAGGGCAGACACCTGCAGGAGGGGGCAGGTGTGTAGAGGAAGATGTTAGAAGAGGGGATGAGGAGGGTAAGCTCACATGTTCAGAGTGGGGCTACTGGAGGAGTGGGCACAGGGGGGAGGGAACGGCTGGTGGAGGGGGGCAGGTCTCAGGAAGGCTGAGGGCAGTGAGAAGGGTAGGAGTCAGGACAGCAGAGGAGGGTGAGGGGTTGGGGGGCAGCAGGCACCAGGGGAGCTGATGGAGCAAGGGGAGGAGACATGGCAGCAGAGGGAAAAAGTAGAGGTTTATAAGATAAGTTATTAATAAATATCAACCAAGTTATTAATAAATATTAGTAATTACTGTTCTTATTCTTATTAGGAATTTATGCCATTAAAAAAACACATGCCTGGGGGGGGGGGGGGGAGATTCCATTTTTTGTCTGGCGAGTAAGGTTTTTCATAATTTCTCGAGCCCTGTTTATGAGGTTCCGGGCAGAAAACAGGTAAGTGTATTGGTTCATTGCAATGGAAATAGATAAGTACTTTTGGTATACATTTCAGGTGTGTTCTCAAAATTACTTTATCTTTGTGGAATGTTGTATATGGCGGGTCCAACATGAGGGCTCCCAACTCTCCTATGCGCCTTGCAGAAGTAATTGTAACAAGGATTGCCACCTTCATTGAGAGGTGTAACAAAGAGCACGTAGCTAATGGCTCGAAGGGTCTGCCCAGCCTTGTGAATACTAGATTTAGGTCCCATCCTGGCAGATCCCATCCGGTCCTTAATTGGCAGATACATGTTTTGTGGGTCACACAGGAACCTTTTTGCAGCTGGATGGGTAAAGACCGAGTGTGACTGCAGTGTAGGGTGGAGGGCTGAAATGTAGCTGAGGTATACTCGTAGGCTATGTCTATACTGGCGGGTTCTTGCGCAAGGCTTCTTGTGCAAGAACTCTTGTGCAAGAACACGTCCACACTACCATGTGCTTTTGCGCAAGAGTGTCCATGGCAGTGAGAATGCTCTCTTGTGCAAGAAAGCTCTGATGGCCATTTTAGCCATAGGGCTTTCTTGCGCAAGAAACCCCTGCCACGCATCCACACTGCCCTCTTGCACAAGAGCTCTTGCGCAAGGGAGCTTACACTTGTTAGAAAAGTGCATAGCTCTTGCACAAGAAGCCCTCTCTTACCACACTTTACTGTAAAACTTCTTGTGCAAGAGCACACGGGCAGTGCGGACACTCTGTGGAAGAACGGCTGTTCTTGCACAAGAACCCGCCCGTGTAGACATAGCTCTATAAAGCTCATGGAGAGGCCTGCCTCGTGCAGATGCAACAAATACTTAGTATGTCTGTTATTTGTGTGTGTCGTGATTCTTGGTTGTGGGTGGAACACCACATCATGAAACACTTCCATTTCTGTGAGTATGTTTTTCTTGTAGGTTTCCTGGAGTTTTGAAGAATATGCTGCACTGTCTTCATTAGAGTATGTTCCATGTCATCTAGCCAGCTAACATCCATGTTTTGAGATGTAGAGTTTGTATGTCGGTATGGTGAATCTAACCATTGCATTGAGTGAGCAGAGCTCGAACTGGTGGGAAGCAGTGTGGTGGATGGATGCTCATCCGTAACAGGTATGGATACCACGTTTGCCTGGGCCTGTTGGCTGCTATGAGAATCACTCTGACCCTGTCTTATTTGACCTTGAGAATTACTCGTATCAGAGAGAGCGGAGGGAACGCGTAGTACAGGTGTCTTTTCCACTGTATGGCAAAGGCATCTCCTAGTGAGTTGTGCCCTATGCCCGCTCTGGAGCAGTACTGTGGGCAACAGGCGTTGTGTTGCATGGAGGAAGGTTAGCATTGAAGTGTTTATTTCCCACTTGAGTTTTTGGGGAAACTGACTGCTTAGTACATCTGCAAGTGTGTTATCCTTGCCTGGGAGGTAAGTTGCGATGAGATGTATCTTCCTTGGGATACACCATTCTCACAACTGGACTGTTTCTTGGCACAGCTCATATGATCTGGCACCTCCCTGTCTGTTGATATAGTACACTGTAGTTACATTGTCCATAAGGATCTGTACAGTTCTGTTTTGAATTAGGGGAAGGAAGTGTGTGCATGTGTGTCTTACTAGCCTGAGTCTGAGCAGGTTGATATGTTTCCCTCTGTCTTGCTTGGTCCAGTGCGCCTGTATTATGTATTGACCCAGGTGAGCACCCAATCCCATCAGTGAGACATCCGTAATGACTGTTACTGATGGTGGAGCTCTTTGGAAGGAGACTCTGACAAATATGTTGTCATGTATGGTCCACTAATTGAGGAAAGCCTTTATCTTGTTTGGTATGGTGATCTGTTTGTTTATGTGATGGATGCGTGGCTTGTACACTGTGCGGAGTCATGCTTATACAGGTCTCATGTGGAGACGGGTGTATGGCACTATGAATGTTGCTGAGGCCATGTGGCCTGGAATTTGCAGGCAGTGTACAGCAGTTAAGAAGGAACTGAAGACAGCCAGCTGCGCATGTGGAGTAGAGCACTCAGACTGTTCATGTCGGCACTCCACGTGTGCCGCCGGCCAGGGGCACTGCTAATACAAATCTCCAACCAGTACGCAGCGACGCTGATGCACCTAAGGTGGAGCATCTACGGGGACCCTTGAAGAAGAATTTTTGTTCATTTATGAGGAGTCCCAGGGACTCGAAAAGACTCTTGGTGACTAGTACCAGGCTCTGTGTCTCTGCATGGGATGGACCCCTTATGAGACTATCATCCAAATATGGAAAGATCATAACTCCCTGACTGCAAGGGTCTTTGAAAAGACTCTGGGAGCAAAGGATAGGCCAAATGGAAAGAACCTGTACTGGAAGTGTTTGGAGGCTAATGTGAATTGGAAGGGCCATCTGTATGATGGATGTATGGTCACATGAAAGTAGGCGTCCTGAAGGTCGAGGGCTGCCAACCTGTCTTTCTTATCCAATGCTGGAATGATCGATGCAAGGGTGATGATTTTGGACAACTGCTTGCGTAAGAATTTGTTGAGCTTGCAGAGACCGAGGGCGGGTCTCCAATCTCCCGTTCTTTTCTCTGTGAGAAAATAATTGGAGTAAAAGCCCTTGCCCCTGTATTGGTCGGGCACTCTCTTGATGGCTCCTACACATAGCAAGCCATCGACTTCCTGCTTTAGGAGCGCCTCATGAGAGGGGTCCCTGATGAGGGACAGGGAAGGTGAGGAGGTTGGGGGGGGAGATAAGGGGGATGATATATCCCAATCTTACTATTTTGAGTTCCCATTGTAATTGAGGCCCAATGATGGTAAAAGTGTGGTAATCAGTGCAAGAGGGTTTCATGTCAGATTGAGGCACTAGTGTAGGGGAAAGGTTGGGCAGACCCTTGACCAGATTCTCAAAACTGCACGATGCACAATGAATGGCCATAAGATGACAGCATAGGATCGCAATAAGTGTCGCACTTTTTAAATCCAGGATAGCCAAGCATAGCAGCTACAAGTAGCGCTTGAGTTTTAAGCACTATGAGTAGTTTTTCTTCATTCTTCTAATTCTTTCTTCCCTGTCTTCTCTCTTTTTAAAAAAAATTAACATATTTACAGGAGATAACTGGGGAAGGTGGGAAGGGTTTGTGAGGGGAGGCCAGGGTCGTGCCCTGCCCCCTTCTTCCTTTTTTTTTTTTTAAGGATTTTTTTTCAATGTAACAACAGCAAAAACTAATTAAAGAAAACACTACAACTAGTTAACTAGAACTCTATTTATACTCTGATGAGGTAGCACTGAGGAGAAGGACTGAGCTTCGACTGCAACTGAGGGTGGTAGCAAAGGGACTGAGGAGAGTCGGGCTGCACATGCAAAGTGCAAAGACGTGAACACCATGAGGTACCTATCACACGAGTGGCCCAACCAGCTACTGCTGTGAAAAACTCTGATCTGTGGCACAGGAATGACCCGATATCAACAGGGGAGCACCCACAGGGACATCACTCAAAGAAGAACTTTTACTAGGTCTGTATGAAGCCTGTGCTTCACCATTCACCAACATTAAGCCTAAGAATTCTAAGGTAAATTGGGAAGATTTTTTTTTTTTTGGAGGGGAAGGTTGCATGGCAGTGCCACAGACTGAAGCCAAATCACAGGGGCAGACTCCACTAATAAGTATTAATTTGGAACTGATGTATGCATGCCTGTACATTCCCCAAATAATTCAATATAGTAAAAAAAAGTCAGAAGAAGGAGGGGAAATCTTTCTGCTGAGATTTGAATCCAAACACTCACGAAAGGCATCAGAAGGAGAAAGAGAAAGAAAGAGCAGAAGAAAGGTCAGAAAAAGGAGAGAGAGCAGAGAAAGAATAACACTGGCTACCATCTAGTAATTATATAATAGTCAAGCACAAACTCAGGCAACTGACTAAAAGAGAAAACAACTTACTTGTGTTCTTTGTGATAGATGTGGACTGCTAGATGAATAAGGTATGTCAAAAATGTTCTTAGCAGCAAAGTCTCATATGGAGAATGCATTTCCTCGGGCGTTGTTTTACCTTCTAAAATAAGAAGACAAGAAAAGAATCTCCATTATCAACACTATCTGAATCAGTTTGGTCTCAAACAACAAAAGCTTATCACCACATCTGCCTCTCTTATCTTCCTATGATCTCCCACGTTGATCCAACATTCACAGAAGAAACTGACTAGAGGTAGTGCTACTTCCAAGTCATCAGCCAACAGAGCATCACCTACCTGCCTCACAAGGATAGGGGAGAATTCAAAATGCTCTTGTAGTTTTGGGAAAATCAATCAGGACTTAATCCGGAAATTGGACTTGCATGGGCAATAACTCATTGATTTCTGCCTGCTCAGGCACCTTTCTTAGAGCCTTTCCAAAGGGCATACGAGCATAGACAGGGAAAGCAAACTATACAAGCAAAACTCCTTGTATAGCAAGGATCAGGATGTACCTCTGCAACTTGTCACAAAGACTCACACCAACACTGATTAGTTGACTATGCAGGAGAACAGTGAAACATACTATAGGAGGCCCCCGACTTGCGACCACCCGAGTTCTGACCCCCCGCACTTACAACCATTTTTGTAAGTGTGGGAGGGGCTGGAAATCCCTGACTTACGTCCTTGGCCTGCATTTACGATGTCACATGGCACCTACTGTAAATGCAGGTTCAAGTTACAATGCCTCCGACTTGCAATGCTTCCCCTAGAACCAATCGCGTCACAAGTCGTGGGCCTCCTGTATACACAGATTGGTGTCAAACCCAGAAGGTAAGCAAAGCTGAAAAAACAAAGTAATTCTTTCCTCTTTAATCTATTTCAGTTGTAGTTACCTGAAGTGTTATTTATTACATTGTTAATTAGGACAATAATTCAGACAGAAGTATCGTTTTAAAGATTATGCTTTAAAACATTTTGATTAGCATTATTATTTTCTGCTTATTTTTGCCTGAGAATTCCAAAACACATGAATGAATCTTATTATGCCCACTTCACAGATAATAGGTAAATTGCTCATGAGCACTGAACAAGCTGGTCACAATGTTCTGTACAGAGCCCAACTCTCAGACAACTAGTCCCTAACTCTAGATATTATATCCTTCTGAAAGTCAACCTATAGGCATACAAACCATTCAGTATCCTGTCCATCTCAGCAAGGGTTACATTGTAATGATGAAACCTGCAATCCTTTAGAAATTTCCAGAACTGGAGCTTAGTCATCAGGAAGGTGTTATCAAGAGATGGATCAGAACCTAAACCGCTGTACAAACAGTAGAGTCTTCTCAGTACTGTAATGTGTCTCAATACCACATATTCTACCTATACAAAATAGTAAAGGGCATGTCTTAGTTTTAATCTCATGACATGTAGTAACCTCATTTGATGTTAAATCTAGCCTTGGACAGTATTGCCAGAAGTTAGTATTACAGGATTGTTCTATGAAAAAGGCATTTGATCCTCTCTGTCCATATCTCAGTGAAGAAGTATCCACATTCACAAACCCACCACTGCTTCCTCACCTCTGGCAACAGTTCTTGTAATTTCATCACAAAGACTACAAGCTAGGCAGGCAAGGAGCCAGAATTATCCTCTGGCTCTCACTGGTCAGAGACAAGAGACCTTGTCAGGGAATTGTGGGAAAACCTGCTTTACTATTGCCTGAACTGCATCAGTATTGTGGACAGCTAAAGGACTTTGTATTATATGTATGTATTATAGAAGCCCCTATTAGGGACTAGAGTCCCACTGAACAAACAGAGAATATAAGACACATGACATAACTTGGTTGACTGGGTGGAGTTTTATACTCTTTTGGTGCCATTATGGAATGATACCACAAAGGCCCCCAATCTAACCTCTCCCATGTCTTGTGACTTCTTAATAATTTTTTTTATGTTAACAAGAATGGAACAGCTCCTCTGTGGATGCTCTGCCCATTTGCTTCTGTTTTGTTTTTTACTGCCTTCAGACTCAAGTTGTAGCTGAATACAAATAACACACAAATAAAAAAATGAACAATGTGAAACATGTCAGAAACAAATCTGAAAAATGTCAGAAGTGTGCAGGCTCTTACCTGTTTCATTTCTTCCTGTCTGTCTTTCTCTGGAAACAAGTTCAGCAATGAAGATATGTCTAATTCAATGTCTGATCCCAATAAAGAGGTATTTCCTGGACCATCAACTATTCTGATGGCTTCTGCCAAGTAATAAAAGTAACAGTTTATCTTTGACTAATAAATAAAATCAATTAATTATATTCAAAATTAAAATAATATTCTCAATTATCTTGTTCCCATTTCCATTTTTCTCTTTAAGAAGAGAAGAACAGTACCCCTGTTGGTAAAATGTAACTGTTTAGCATTATCTTAACAGAATATATATTAAAAAATCTACATCCACCTTCCATAAGAGGAAGAAAACATATTAACATCATGTCTTACTAAATGTCCATGTTGCAGTGTTTCCAAATGTATCTAACTCAGTGGTGGGAAACCTATGGCCCACTAGGGTTCTATGTATGGCCCACACGACATTTTGAGTGCTCTTCCCCACATGCAGTGTTGCCAGATTCCACTGGTTTCCATCCACATCATTATTTTCTTACTTGTATTACTCAAGTGACACTCAAATAAAGCAAGGGCAAGTAAAGTGAGGTGCATGCTGATTGAACACATTTGCTGTCAGAGCTGTGCACTCCCTCTGTATGCAATCAAAGCACTGCTACGGTTCAGTTGGCACATCCCACAAATTCTAGGCATACAAGTGCAGTTAGCAAAACTACTCTATTCCAGGAGACTGCCTTGGTTACGACAATCATTTGGCCCACTGAGATGAACGAAGGCCATTCATGCTGCCCACTCACTAGCGTTGGTTGCCCATCACTGATCTAGCTGCTTTAAGGATGTGCCTAGGCATGAGAACTCATTCACCTTAAATAATCTTCCAAATGCCATAGTACAGAACAAAAAAGACGCATGGAAGCAAAGAGGAGTACATAATGAAATGGTGTCTTTTCCTAGGTGCATGGTGGGTGGAAGAATTTGGCCTCGTTAAAAGAAATCTGTTAGAAAATCGTGTTTTAGAAAACTATCAAAAGGGAACTGTAAAATGTTGTGGAAAAAAACCAAACAAGACATTGTTTAAGTTCCCATATCACTGACAGAATAGGGGCATAGATTTAGAAAATACACATTTATTTGAGGGACCTATCTGTACACAGCTGCTGCCAAGTCAAGACAGTGTGAAAATCAACTTTAAATCACCTTTGCACACACATACCATTGATCTTTGTTCTACCCAGTCTGGCCACACCTCAGGATTTTCCCACTCCCAACCCCCAAATCTGATGCATCATTCTGTGTAGACACTGAAAAATCCAGAAAAGAGTGAGAGTCTTAGGCCTCGTCTACACTTAAAATTCTGATGCACATGAAAAGTTCTCACCTTTGCATTCCATAGTTAGCTGCATCTACACCAGAGCTTAGCCTAAGTCAATGAAAGACTTATGTTAAGGACTATCCATTACTTACAACAGCAGAAAAACCCTTTCCATCTCCTGTAGGAAGCATTCACAATACAGAGCTATATCACCATAGCTCGCTGCTGCAATGCCCATATTGCAGACAAGTTCTTATTTTTCAATTTCTTAACTGAACAGCCAGCCCACTAGCACTTTTACAGAAGGAATAACAACATGAGAGCTTTGCTTTTTTTCCTGTTACTGCTCTCTGTATTGATACAGGCAGTCCCCGGGTTACGTACAAGATAGGGACTGTAGGTTTGTTCTTAAGTTGAATCTGTATGTAAGTCGGAACTGGCATCAGCCGCTGCTGAAACTGATCAGTTTCAACCACGGCTGAATCTGGATGCCAGTTCTGACTTACATACAGATTCAACTTAAGAAACCCAGGCGTCCCCAAGTCAGCTGCTGCTGAAACTGATCAGCGGCTGATTCCAGGAAGCCTGGGGCAGAGCA